CCTTTTCTGATCAATGGTACCCATTTTTTTGTTTAGCCCAGAGTGCATACTCTCACAGAGATTCATTTTTGCAAGGGAAAAAAAAAATGAAACCAAGAAAAGCAAAACAGGAAATGGGACAGCCAAAGGTAAGACCTGATAAACTACTCTGGCAGAACAAAGAACACTAAAATTTTGCTTTTTTTAAATAAACAAGGGTTTAATAAAAGAAAATCACTAGACTAAAACTTATTGGTAAGAACTAGACACCAGATGTCGACCACGCATTATAAAAAGTTTTGCAGAGCTAACAGAATATGATAATGCATCACAAAACGTATATTGGTCCACATTTTATCAATTCCATTTTATTTATAACACTTCATAATATATCAGTAGACATCGTGTGTTCTGTAAAAATTACAAAGGTGTGATAACACCTCGATACAGCCTTGTCAGTTCAACTCGTGAGAAGAGGAAAGCCAACCGTGTGTGCACTAATTACACAGTATGAGCACTAGTAGGGTTCTAGTACAGAGTGATGGTCCACAGCAATAATGCACACAACATCACTACTGCAGTCACGGGTCATAACGAGAGAACAACATTGTTATTACAAACAGAGAAATATGGTTTGAAACTTGGCCTGGGAGACTGGATGAACAGAAAAGGCTGCAAGGCCAAGCAAGTGCTTTTACTTTGGAAGCGCTGGCAACAGTTTTTCAGAAAAGGCCATACCATTTATTGATTTGGTTTTTTATATCCTTCCAGGCAATAAAGTTCTTTTCCCATGCACTACAACAGAAATACAAAACAACAGGAAAAAAAAGGGGGAACAAAGTTTGAAGAACTACTCTGAGATGAGAAGACCAAAGCAACGCAAGCAAACTGGTTAGTCCAGATTACTTGCAAAATGGAAGGAAATAAGTAGCACCGTCGTAGTTGAATATGAACTAGTTAAAAACATTTCTTGCTACCTGCTTGTCATCAGTTTTATTTTGCAAAGAGTTTTCACTGGAAATCAAATAATCCTGATAATCTGAAAGATGGGTCATTATTTTGTTTATGAGTATTTAGGGTGTGCTGCTGGGATGCTTCCTGAGTTTGTGTCGCTTTACCTTTTAAGCAAGTACAAAACTATTTCAAACCTTGTTAGGCGGCTCTTTACGCCAGTTTTTTTTCACCACGTACTGTCAGATGCTGTAAATGAGCTTCCCAGCCCAAATTCAAAGCAGCTGTTACCACAATCTCTCTCTATCATGGCTGAACAAATAGTATATCCCTTAAAACATTTCAGATTGTATGAACAGAAGAGTTTAGCTGTTCTGCTGTGACTGCAATCCAGCCTGTCTCCGCAAAACAGCTGACGCTTCTCCAACATTCAAGAAGTTCAGCCCTCAATCGTAAAGAATTTTCAGCGAAATGGGGAATACCTCTCTCAAATCTCTCAAGATGTTCTCTGCGAAAACAAGATCTGCTTTGAAAGCACCTAAAGTTGCCCTGATTTAAAAAACAAACACAAGCCTTTCCACCTCACATCTACCAGCATACACAATCCAAGTGCAGGAAAGAAAAATGTCATTAATTTATACAAGCCACAGACAAATAAAACCATTTGCTCCTTAATTAGTGCAAAAATTGCATTTTGATTCTCCACTTTAGAGGAACAGTCAAGTCCCAAATATATCAGATAACCTGCAGTGCTGACAAACTGAAATACCTTCTTCAGTGCAAAGCTAAACTATAAGGTCAGCTGGCACTTGATAATTTACATTCGTCTTCCCACAATCTGGCTTTAGGATGATCTTCATTATAACTTTAAAGTAGCTATAAATACTTTCCCAAAACACATGAATTTAAACTGAGAACTAGATATGGCCCTTGATGTGTCTTGGAGTATCTGCAAAGATCTATTCCAAATACAAAGTCAGAAGACTACTTCTCCATCTATGGATGCCCTGCTGTTGAAGTTTCTAGAGGAGCTCTGTATAATGGTACTTTCAGTGCTGATCTAGACACTAGATCTAGAAATTCATTCACTTGGAGAGTCATCTGCAACAGATTCCTCTTGGGAATTTCACATCCAAATGTATACCTGACAGTCATTTTTGTTGTGTCCACTTAGGCTTTCTTCCTCAGACTTCAGAGAAAAATGAACGTGAATGGCAAGTTGAAAAAACAGCACCATCATTGTGTTAGTCACAGCAGAATATACCAGGAGGAAAAATAAAATACTTTTTTTTTTTCCTGTTCAAAATGAATCCAACTTAAAACAAGAAAGAGCCACACATTCTGAGAAGGCATCACCTATCTCTGTTTACTGTCTCTCCGATGAAGACAGCTGACGGAGCAAATCGTTTTAGTGCTTCCTGATCTACTCCAGCATTAAGCGAACTGGGCGAGCAGTGAAGTTCCAGCCAAGGCAGCGAACCATCGTGCTGCAGTGGACAGGCATCAGTCCCAGAATCTGCTGAAACACTGGGCTGCAGAGGCAAGCTATAATAAGAGTTAAGTTAGAATTCTAACCATACCCACAAAAGGACATCTGACACCAGTACAAGGCAAAAATCCTAAATTATAACACAGACCCTCAAAAATATCAGCAAAACCAACTTGCTACCTTCTGCTGACCACAGCCAACTACAAAGACCTTATAGTTACTGGAAAACAAAAAAAAAATCTGTACTCAAAAATAAGCATCAAGACAGAACAAATGAACCATCAAATCTCCCTGTTGCTGTAGAAAACAAAGAAAAACCTGCCAGAAGCCAGTAGACTTCAACAGGCAAAAGGTTCTCTCAGTTTGTGTTGTGACATCCTCCTTCCTACACACCTAGAAACTAAGGCACATAGGTGAGCTTTCTTGGCCAAGGAAATCTCTTCTTTCCCTTACTTATCCAAAAAGAAAATAAATACATAAATGATACAGAGGAAGAAAGCCAAGAGTTTGGGATGCTTGAGGAAGCCTCATATGAAAACACAACGATAGAACATCTTACTTGGCTTCATTTTCCTGGACCACATACAAGACAAAGAGAAAAAACACCAACTTTCTTCCTACACACACGCATTTAAGAAAAAGTGCAGGTTCCTAATTCACTCTCACTGGGGTCCATAACAGCATATTCCATAGACAAACAATTGTGCAATAATTGCAAACAGCAATTGCATCAAAGAGCTCTGTCTTCTCTGTGTATTCAAATATGTTGCTCTGCAAAGCCTTTAACAAACAATAACGCAATGCTGATACACTCTCAATCTTCAAATGACAAATAACTGTAAAGGGAAAAAGCTTCTCAGGTCCATATTCTCTGCACAGATATATTTTGATCACTATTTGATTAAACTGAAAAACATGTCGTCCCCCCTCAGAAAAGTTTATGAAGCACAGATTATATCAGCATGATCCTCGGTACATTTCATTTTGCAGTCTAATAATGCTCCAAGTAAGAAATCCCTGTAGAAAGCCTACCAGGCAGTACCTGAGCTCAGAGGAAAATGGCCTGATGTCATAAAATGTTTCTATTATCAATTTGTACTCTTTGTTCTACCTACCTTGGAAATGACCCAAACAGGGCATTTTGTTTTCAAATTTAGCATAAGCAACTTTGTAAATTATCAAAATATAAAGATAAAAAAAATAAATCTGGGCACTTCTGTGTTCTTGCTATGGGTATCTCATATCGATCCTTGCTACAAAAGGACATAGAGTCAGGCAGTATGCTAATAGAGCACTGCTAGATACTCCAACATGATTTAAGATGTGCTTCTACTCAAAGTCCAGAAAACTTCTCACACACCAAGTGTTATGTCCTCAGCATGGATCCTTTCCCTACTTTTCTACTTCAATTAAAAAAAACCAAAAAATAATTTTGGCTGGAACACCCAGGCTTCTCCTCAAGTCTTCTAGAGGTATCAAAATATATTTGAACTTCAGATAAAAGGGTAAAAGGCATCTTATTTATGACTTATCAGACATCTGCAAACATCTCAGGGTTTCCGTTCACATTGAATGCTGAAAACATCCACAAGAAGAGACAAATATCCCACATGGTTTAGTAAAATGAGGAAAATATCTCTTAGAGCGGAAGACGCCACTCTAAGTTCCCAGCAGTCTAAGTAATGTACAGCAAATAAGAAAAGAAACCATGCAAATAGCTAATCCTGAATTTACATAATTAGTGCTATAACCATGGACAAGTGGGTAATGATATCTGAGAGACTAAATAACTAATATCATCAAGCCATAAAACCAGGGAGATAATTGCAAGACACCTCCATGAACATGGGTGGAGGATGCTACTCTAGAAATTCCCATTTAGCTTTTCAGTGGGAATCCACCAAAGGGAAATTCATGAAGTGACACACCGGAACCTTTCTTTTTGAACCCAATCACATAAGCAGGGAAAAGATAAACATCACAGTAAATGCTGTAGGAGATCAAGGTCTATAAAGCAAAGCTAATTACATAAATTGCCTTTTCTGAAATCCGTAAAACCAAGATCAACAATCCAAGTAATTTCAAGCAGAGATTAGGTTGAGAGCAGGTTTTGAAAGGCAGCCCATCATTCACCCACAGCATGTGCTTGTGCTGAAACCATACTTTGAGCCACAAATGAAGCTCAATAGGAACTTCTGACAACGTAGAAGCAGGTGATGTGGACAATGAAAACCATCTTTTTATTAAATATTCTTCGCACTTTCCAATACTCAATTTTTCCCTTAAATTGTGGTTATGATGTATTGGAAAAATACTTCTATAAATGAAGAAAGCTATTTAGCATATTTGCAAATCAAGGGGGAAAAAAGAATAGTAAATTAAACCTGTTTAGTTTGAAATGTTGTCACATTCCAGAATTTTAAAATATTAAGAATCACACTATTCAAAAATTTTAAATAATTTCCACTTAGTTTATATAAAATATCATGTACTATAAAGCAAATTGATTATAAAAAAGTAGAACAACACTAAGTTGTTTCCTGTTTTTTATTATAGTTATATTGTTTGTCATTTCACTTACCCATGTTTCGCGCCATATATCTCCTTTTCTTTTCCTTTGCCCTTCTCTTTTACTTTTTCTTTCTCTCTGCCTTTACGCCGCTCTCTTTCACGAGACCCGCTATGAGTTGTCCTATGACTGGATCTTTCACTACTTCGACTATAAGAACGTTGACGAGGTCTTGATCGTGATCTACACAAAATCCATAGTATTAAAATTTAGCAGCCATACATTTTTCACTGTCACTGCATTTGTTATATAGTCCAACTAACATAAACACAGTTGCAAACCATTTAGCAATTTAATGCTTTTAAACAAAAAACTACTGATTTATCAAAAGAAAATTAAAAATAAAGCGTTGCTTCTACTCTGAAGGAAGAATGCAAAACAAGTTAAATTACATTAGACATTATTCACCCATTAGCCAATTAATCTGGTATCACCAAAGTAACCTTTGGAGCTATTGGAGAGGGAAAGGAAAGAATTTTTCTCTTGAACGTTAAACTTTAAATTTTTAAGTTCTGATCAATTTACCTTGGCAAATCATCAAAGAGTTTACAGCTGCTACTAAGTGTTTGTATTTACATATTAAATACATTACTACTACTAACGATGTTCCAACAAAAAACAGGAAAACCCCAAGCAATGTGTCCAAACCCCCGTCTTTATCCTGCAGAGCTGACACATGCACACAGCTTCTTAATATCAAATTCAGATTTGAAACACACTTTGTAGGAAGCCTATAAATAGGCCAACCCTACAGGCCCAATAATGCAAGAAACTGCATACAGGTGCAAGGGTTTGGGCACATATTTGGTTCCTGGTTATAAGTTCCTACATGGCTACAGGATACTCTGTTCTCAATCATGTTATCCATTCCTCTGTAATAAATATATGTTGTTACTGATATACTTGAATGAAAAAAAGATCAAGAACAAAAGGTATTACAACATGACCGTTTCTATATGTATCCATAAAACCCCTTTTCATTATTCCCAAATTTCTTTCAGATTATATTCTAAATTTTAATTTATAATTTATCATGGATTAATACATATTTGCTATGGTGCATGAGTAGCTGCAGATAATTAATATTTAGGAAAACAACAGTTCAGATTTGTATCAGTTTCTATTCCAACATACATCTTCATAAAAGTTCTGATGGCACCTCATTGAAAAGTTTCATTAAGTACTGAGAGGGTTGGGGGGAGGGAAGGGCATTTTTTTAAAACAGTATAAAAAAAAAATTTATTTAGCACCTCTTGGGGTGCAAAACTCCAAAGGCTTTTAAAAGCTAAATCACATACAAAAGATCACTCAATTTAAAAGGCAACAACTGTTTAATAAAACTCAACAATAGAATAAGGAAAAGAAAATACTACATCCAGATGAAGCTATAAATTACATTTAGGAAGAATGTTGTTAGTGACTCTGGAATTTGTCCAGCATACTGGGGTTAACATACCTATTCTTGCCACTGAGCCTTTCAGACTAGCACGAGAGGTCAGAACCTCAGTTTTACATTTCATTCAGCAGATGGCATCTCTTGCAACACAATATCTCCTATTATCGGTCACACTATTAGCACTAATACAGATCAAATTACCACTTAAGTGGTATATTATGAACTATAGAACTTTTTCTGTCCCAAAATGGATTTTTGTTGTCATCACAAATTAAAAAGCATCCATCCATTCTTCAGTCCTCAGGTAGAGGAAGTTTTGACCTAAAGTAGTATTCTGGATATTAGACCTATTTTTTGGCACAAAGACACTGGTTTTTACAATATCATAATGAGGCAGGCACAGATTTACAGACCACTGCCCTACTATTCCAAAGTAATCATGATTTTTGAGAACTCCGCAGGTAAGATACAGAATCCAAAAGAATAAATAAATAAATGGATAAGCCAACACAAAAGCCACCTGTAGCAACAGAAATCACCTTCATTTGATGTGAAGCTTCTCCTTACTTAAGGGTGTAGTCCTTCAAACAGAAATGACTGAGGAATCTAAAATAGTTATTGCTAGAGAGTTTACTTTCTCAGCCCAAATTTGAACTCAATTTCACATCTACCTTTTGCAGAAGCAAATTCAGTTGAGATTAGCTGAATGCTCAAATCCCAGATTTCTGTTCATTCACATGTTTAAGTAGAACAAATGGCAGGTATAATTTATAACAGAAAAACAGCTTTTAAAAATTAAAAGCAGACTTGTTGCATCAAATTTGTACTTACAACAGCATTGACAAACTGAAAAACATTTTCTTTACAGAAGCTGTCACTGTTCTTTAATTTGCAGTATTTTGCACCCATAAAATTCATTAGCCTAAAGTGATCCCTAATTATCGTTTATCCTTTGAGTTCTACAATTATAGAAAACCGCTGATACAGCTTGTGCTCCCTGTCCCATCATGCAGGTGAGGCAGGCAGATTACTATCAATGGGATATTACAGTGAAGATCTGAACAAAAATGTTAAGTTCTACGCCACAGAAGCCATCTCTGCAGGACACATTAGGCAGTCAATCCTTCAATTATCAGAGCAGTTGATCTGGGCTGTAGATCAGCCCAGAGCACAGATGCAGACAATCCAGAATTGGCTTCATGCAGAGTCAACTTCGGTTTGGTGGGACTTGTTAGCTCAGATAACAAGCCAGAGCAGGGAGAAGGGTCTTCAGGGCAGCTCCAGCGTCACATCTGGCTGCCTCCGTGGGCGGCAGACCCCCAGCCCAACCCCAGCTGACTGCCATGCCCTATTTTAGGGGATCTATAAAGGTGAAGTGAAGAAAACAAGTTGCCCAGTGGATCTAGTGTATCCCACTGCACCCAAATCACATTGCAGAGTCTCTCCTGTATGTTAATTCTCCAGTAGGTAAGACGTACACAGGGTTTATTTGTTGCAGCCAGATCTAGTGTATCCCACTGCACCCAAATCCCATTGCAGAGTCTCTCCTGTGTGTTAATTCTCCAGTAGGCAAGACGTACACAGGGTTTATTTGTTGCAGCCAAGACAGCAGTGCTGAGGGATGCAGACAAGCACATCCTAGCACAGCCTACTGACGTGGCACCAGGTAAACCTGTGATGGATCCGCACAGACAAAGCCTCTGAAGATGAGCTTTTCTTGGGGAAAATCCAGGAAAACCTGGGTATTCCGTTATTGTACAGAGTTCTTTGCAAATAGATAATTTTTTATTATTTTCCCTTAATGCTGCAGTTACAGCACTCACAATTAAAATTACCTCTGCCTAAGTTCATTGTATTTATTGATATTGATTACAAACAGTATTTATAGAACACAGATAAAGCAAAACAATTCCAGAAATACAGAAAGATGTGCCAACCCCAGTCACAAACAGGGGGGAAGTAAATAAGAAAAAAATCAGGCAAAGAAAAAAGCAAGTCTAGCATTAATGCTCCCTTCAATTCCTGAATGTTAGTGAAACTTAGATCCTGATAAATAATTTTTAAACTGAGGTTACTACTGCATTTCTAATGTTGTACAGCAATGAATATTTTGGAAAAAAAAGCTTATCCTCTATTAACCTTTCTCCTTCACAATACATCCAGTCATAGTAACAGAGGACTATTAGAAAAACCACTAGGCAACCACAATACATAGTTTTATTAACAAATTCAAGTTGAATCTCAACTCTTGCGTAAGTCTTCTGCTAATCTAAAAAAAAAAATATTAATTGTAGGGACTTCCCACACAAGTAGAGCCATGAAAAATTTAAAATACATTTGCTTAACTACGTAACAGCTTAGTATATTATGAGTTAAGACACATTATGTAGTTTTACCACATTTTGATGAAACAAAGAAAAAACAGAGACTAAATATCTGAAGGTAACAGACATAAGATGGCAACAATAACAAACTTTTTAGTATAATTCTCCAGAACAATTTCATCTTACATGATAAAATAAGTCCTGCCAGCGATACTTCTAAAACTGAAGTGGAATGAACAGGAAGCCAGCAATAAACAATAAGAACTGCTGAGTTTAAGCAGGTAAGACCACAATCTTCTTGATCTCTGCTAGTGTGCGCACTCTTAAGAGAGCTCTCAGTTTCTGTGAAGTGCCATTGGAAATGATTAGCTATGATTGAAGCAAAACCCACAATTACACTCCATATCTGCGATACGGAGTGAACACTGCATCACTTCTAGAACGCATGAACCCATCTTCTCTGAAACCACCAGGTAACAGTAAGGGACTGTATGAACACAGACCATTCTGCAGACATCAGGACAGAGTTTAGTCAGTAGTCTTTGACTTTGCAATCCAAATAGTTTTCTCTGCTTAATTTCTATGCCATTCTTCCCCTTTTTTCCCTTTTAAAGAAAGGGGTAATATCCAATCTCTAACTGCCACTTTTCTCTGGCAACGGCAGAATTTGAACAATGAAACCTCAGAAATTTAGATCATGCTTTGACAACTTCAGGTAAGGCTACTGACCTTCCTCTAATGCACCAAGGCTGCAGGTAATTGAAAAATTAAGATCAACAAGAATGGGGCTTTGAGCAACCTGGTCTAGTGGGAGGTGTCCCTGCCGGTGAACAAGGTCCCTTCCAACCCAGACCATTCTATGCTTCCAGGTCCCTTCCAACCCAGATCATTCTACAATTCTATGACATTGCCTCAAATACATTCAGTATTTAGCAGTGCCATCCCCAACAGCAAAGGCTGGGTTCAGGGATAGAGCCAGGGCTCACCTCAGACCAGAGGACCATTATCAGCACCTTCTCAGTGACAGGCTTCAACATATGGAAAAGCTTCACTTAATGCTACAGAACTTCGTTTTACAGTACGTTACCATTTTAATAAGATAGCTATCTTTTTTCTTTGCCTGTAAGCTCAAAATCCTAAAGTATTTGTTTTAAGAATACTTTACGCAAACTTCCATAAGGACTGTATTAAACCCAAAATGCACTATAGGGTCTTGACAGTGGAAGATAATTTCATAAAGTGAAAATTAAAGTATACTAAATTTGCTATTCAGTGTATAACAAGCTGCAGTACATTTCCATTTGTAGCATGAACAAATTCACCCGTAGGTTACCATGAATAACTATAAAAATATCTTGTGATATATACAGAACAGAAAATAAAGATATAACTTTATGAAATTGAGCTACAAGAAGTCATCTGCTCCAAGAATTCATCAGTAAACAAGAACAAAAGTCCACAGA